AATGTTTCATTGTTCATAAGTAAAGAAAAAAAGTTTGAGATTTTAGAAGACATGCAACCAAATTTGTATTGTCTCTAGAGATACAACATATAAATGTAATGTGGCAGTCTGGCTTGAACACTTAGGTGGTGACCATGTAGTCTTCTTACATTTTTGATGATGTGTATTGACAGCTGTGATCAATGTAGGCATCTGTTCTGTCGTGTGCCTTATTATGGAGTCTTCAGTTGGCAAAAGAGGGAATTGAACCCACTCACCTCAAATAGTGTGCATGGGGCAAACATTGTTAATAAAACATGTACATGTAACTAAATTTCTATTACAAGGGTACTTAATCCTTGATCCCCAAAAAAACATTTCTGAATAGGCACATCACATGAGCATGGATAAGGCTCTGTTCTGACAGATGGAGTTACACACCAATCACAGTAATCACAGACATTTTCTCAAAGCTTGCTCCATTTACTCCATCACTAAGTGCAACAACTTTGCTGCAAGTCTTTCATTTAGGACAGAGGGAGGTGAACTCCTGGGTGTGTTGTGAGTAAAATGTCCAGTCCTGGAATGGCATGGTTTCCCAGCCCTTAATGACCACAGTACATAGCAGATCACACAGGGAATCTAGGTGACACACTGAGTGAAATCAAAACAGCCTTTGTCTGAGTGTGTCACCATTTGAAGGATGTTGCCACTTAATTTTTATCAGGAGATAACAGGCTGAAAGACATGAAAGAAGATGCAAGGAATATGGGTGTTAAGGTAAGCTATAGACACAGAGCGCTTAGACTCAAAGCACTTACAGTCATCATATCTCCAAACAGCTGGCTCCAACTCTCTCAGCGCAGCTTTTCTGAACTTCCTGTTCAATACAAGATCACAAGGAAAATAGCAGTCTTCAGCAGCTGTCCATCTAATTGCTTGGAGAAGGGAAGAGGAAGGAGCAGGGAGCAGGGAAGAGGAGAATGTCTTTCCCTGCAGTGCCTGTGTGTGCTTGTGGAGACACTCATCAAGCTTATTAGCACACACAGGGTGGCTCCATAGGACTCTGCAAGGGAAAGTTGCCACTATAAAACAGGATCTTAGGGTCAGTGTTCGGGGGAACAGCTAATTCTGCAGGAAATTAGAATGTTTAAACATTAAGGAACAGCATTCATTGTAAGTGATTTAACCAGCTTTATAGTCTTTTAAAGTGTAACTCCTCTTTTGTTGAGAAAAAAAAAATCAAGAAATTACATTTCTAGGGACAGCTGTTTCCATGAACCACCCGCACTCCTTACAGTTTGCAACCTTCAAATGGTGGGGGTGCTCATGGTGATCACAAGGATGGCGCCGTGCAAAACTCAGAATAGTCTCAGGTTACCGGCACACGCACAGATGAATTCAATATCTCTTTGATATGTTTTATTGAAGAATGTCACATCATGTCAATAGAAGCTGAAGCTAGCGTTTCGGGACCTCACAGGGACCCTTCATCAGTCACTATGTCGTTCTGCAGTGACCTGTTGAGGCTTTTCTAGGGGCAGCGGTGCCCCTAAGTTGCCATATAGCATTGAATATTTTGATACATTTTAGAAAATTAAAGTGGCTTCAGATTCAAATGGAAAGGTAATTTTTAATAACTTGAAATTACAAAATGGCTTGTATAGCAATTTTATATGCTAAATCATTTTTTTATGAAAGTGGAATTTTCCTTTCACTTACATTTTGCTGTAACTGTTTTATATTGATTCATCTATGCATACAGGCATTCATCTTTCACTTGCACTTATGTAAACCTATTTACATGGTTTTCAGGATCCTACATCATTCCCTCTGCCTACTTCTCAAGACCTGGCGGGTTTCTGGGATCTCCTCCAACTCTCATTTGAAGATGTAGGGATGAAGTTTGCAGAGCTGCAGCAATTAAAGGAAAATGGATGGGAGCTATTGGAAACCAAGGTAAGAGCAGAGTCTTGGTTTCTATCCAAAACTACTAAGCAACATTTTGGCTATACTTACAATTTAACTTTGTCAGCTATAATCACAAAAGCTTAAATTAATTTAGTACTTGACATTTCTTTTTCATTCTTAAAATTTGTTTCTTTGATAGCATGTACAGTATGCTTTACACTTTACTCTAAAATTAACCAGTGGCTCAAAGTCGTTCAAGTCGACTCTTTCAGCAGCTCAGCTCACCCCTCGTCAAAAGTGACTTTCAGCCTTCTATGCTGTAAAATAACGAAAAACATAAGAGATCATTTGGAGGGTAAGCTGAGTGGATGAGTGAACCACTTGAATGACTTTAGTGTTTGTGCTGTGATATTTGAGGATGAAATGCTCCACAGTGCCTGCAGTTACTGAGGTCAGTGATGGCTTGGTTCTTTTGCTCCTTGTTAAGAATTTATAAACACTTAAATGTCCATATCCTTGCCACAAGTTCACTTCCAGTTTGGTTGAATATGCTTTAAAAAATGTTTTTGGGAAATTGTCTTTATGTTGCATTGTCTAATTTTAGGAGGAAAAGAAGCTTCCTCCTCCAATACCAAAGAAGCCACTCCGTCAGAAGGTGCATCCAGTTAAAGACCGTTCTTTGGACTCCGTTGACCGACAGAGGCAAGAGGCCAGGAAGAGGCTGTTGGCAGCCAAACGTGCTGCCTCATATAGGCACAACTCTGCCACAGAAAGTGCTGACAGCATAGAGATTTATATCCCTGAAGCCCAGACCCGACTGTGAAGAGGACAATGTACACTATCCTTTTGTACGCGCTGTATATAAAAATATACATATATATATATACATAGAGAATATTTAGAGATTATTCTAAGAAAACAAAAACACTGAAAAAATGACCACAGCTGTGTAATTCTGGGGAGGTCCTTCAACCCAAACCAAACTAACCCTTCATCAAAAGACCCTCCCCTTAAAGGGCAGAGCTAGATAACCAATCAGTGCTGTTTCCACTGCTGAGGCTGGAGGAATTTGCTTAAAGCTCCAGCCCTCTCCCTCTCCAAACTCCCCTCCCTCTTATCTTAACTCTTGTATGTAGCTTGAAATATGGACATGCTGCATTGTGTAGCAGTACTGAGTATGACCACATTTAAACACTGTGTCAAAGTCTTTTTTCATTTAGAGCAAAGTTGTAAAGCACCCCAAGATATTAGGCCCATGAAACTAAACTAGAGGAGATATTTTGAAAAATTTCTGTCTTCAAAAAAAATCTTATTTTTAGATCAATGGGAATACTCTGTATTGGACTGCGATGCAGTGTGTTCTGTTTGTGCTAGGTAGTGTTTAATAGCTGTGTGAACCTGCTATGTACTGGTTCTTGCATGTTTGAAAACACAGGTATCTCACTATGGTGGGAAAGTGCATACACAAATAGGACAAGAAAGCATTTTTTAAATAAGGTTTAAGGTTGCCTAATTATAGTTAATATAAGGGTACACTGCAAAATAACTTGCCATCATGTCTACTTTAAGAAAATGTTCATAAAACTGGTCACTGCAGCTTTGCAAAGTTTCCTGTCAAAATGAATGAAAATTTAAACTTTTTTGGTCACATTTTGTTTTTATTTGTTAGAAACGTGAACACATAACTACAGTATTGAAAAAGTTATTATCACTCTCTCCAACATCCAGATCAATCGTTTTTGCATCCTAAGTGAGATATATGATTATTTTAAAATACCCAATCCTAGTTTCCAGAGATTTGCTATTTTGATTCATGTTATCCTTACATTTGTGCAGTAACTCTCACCTTAAGTAGGGAATCTTAACCAAACTAGACATAGATATGCTTTTTTAGATAAACCTTGCAAAAAGTAGGGATGAGCAAATTGAGCAAAGTCTGGTTTACCAGACATTCGCCAAACCTGGGGGGAAATTATGCAAACCCAGAACATAGCGCCAAAACCCCATTAAGGTTTATGGAAGCCAAATCATGTCGTTTTTCTGTTTTTTTCAAGGCTGCGTTAAACAAATGCATGGGTAGCTGGACACTGCCACTGGGAAAAAGTGTCAATGCAAAAATTAAAATAAAATAATTACCATTTAGCAGGGAGTGGATCTTTTAATAAAGCTTAAAGGGCAACATTAAAAATACAGAAATGCAGAAAACCGGGCTGCATGGGGAAACTTATTGGAATCTGCAAGCCCTCTTTAGAGTAAGGGGGCACCCAGATATCCAGCCCCCCTAAAAAAGTATTACCCACCTGTGATGTTGGGGAGGTTAGCACAAATAGTGAGCGCTTAAGGACCAGTCATGAAGCCGTTTTCACAGAACAAAGGACAGTCTTTTAATTATTCCAAAGGCAGAAAAAGGAAATCCAACATAAATAGCTTTCTTCAGCGTACCTGCTCACCCTTCACAGGTTATCCTGTTCAGTGTCCCAGGACCTTACGGTTTGCCTCAACAGAATCTCTTCCTGGATATTCTGTGCCTTTGGGCATCTTTTGAATTCACCCACACACCTTGTGTGCCTGGCTCTCTCTGGCTCTCCAAGCCTTCCAGCCTCCAACACATACACAGCATCCTGGCTTCACTCTGGGTGGAGTCCGCCTGACTCCTGGACACAACCTGTCCCTCTTCCCAGCTGGAGCCCAGAACACTAGCCAGCACCCTTCCCATAAGTGCTGTGCACAGGTGTGCAATTAGGTGCTGGCCACTATTAAACAATGGACCCAGGAATGGAGATTTCATTCCTCCCAATTCTCTTTGAAATCTCCCAGTTCCAGGATCCCGTGCCAAATCCAAGTTTTCTAGGGAGAGAACTGAAAGGCCAGTTCTTTCCCAGCAAAATAATTTATTTCCTGGAACTGCTCAGCCCCTCTGGCTGAGAGTCCTGGGTGACTACAACCCCCAGTTATACCGTGGGATTGCCACACAACACCACACCACCACAGAAAAGTCCTTCATTAAAAAAAGAAACTATGTCCCCCCATGTAAAACCAACATCAAACACATTGTCTGCTTCAATGACAATGCTGCCCTGTCACTACTCCCATTGCAAATGACAGTGCCTGGCTTGCTGCTGAATGTCAACAAACTAGTCGGGGATGCTGGGTATCGTCATTAACCAAATTCATATTTTTACCATTTGAAACTAGCTGGGAAGCTGTGAATTAGTGGTGGAAGTGATATTGTCACTAAATGAAAGACTTCCAGGTGCATCAGATGGAGGTTTGAGTGGGCACGCAAACTGGCCAAATCTGGGCATTTTGTTTTCCCATTCTCCAAGCTCGGCCTAAACCGTAAACTCATTCCTAAGATAGACCCCTAAAAAAACATACTAGAGTAAAGCCACCTGATTAGACTCATCCACCCAGTGGCACTTGTAAGATGCATTAGCAGTTTTATCTATGCTTAGACAGACAACAGACGACATTCTATACAAGTGAAATGCAAATAATATAGCATTAATTAATGTGGGTGCAAAAATATTCTTACTGGTTTTATGCTGGATTATTATCATGTCATGTAGAAATTTAGAAATCTGGAACATACCTGCGTACAAACTTTTTCTTCTAAATTTGCTCCAGTAAACTGAATATAGACACTGACAGAGTTACAGAATTATAATGTTTTAATGAGGCTAGCAGTTCAGGTTAGGTGCAGAATTCAGTGGTGGACATACCAAGGTCGTAGAGTGCTCAACAGGCATTCAGTTTGTCAGATTTATTAAAGTCAAACACACATGCTAATGACCCTAACGAATAGCTTTTTTTTAAAGTTTTATGATAAATCTTTCTAAATTAGTGCAATCTTTAGGCTCAAAAACTGTTAAAGAATGTTATTAAATACAACATACCTTATTATTTTTTTAATTAACCTGCATTGCCATTCTACTTAAACAATGATTAACTATATCAATAGTATTATATTTTAAAGGACAATTGCTCCTTTGTTTAAAAATCAATATTGTAATGAGCATACCACACCTATTACATTAGCAATATATATGTATATCTATATATAGATATATACAGTATATAGATATATATTATAATTTGTTTTTGCATAAACACAGGTGAAGCTGATAATACTTACTAAGAAAGCAAGATTTCATTAATGTTCAGGTTTTAATCAATCAGTTCCCTCTGTTAACTGATTGATTTACTGATTTTTTTCAGATGCATTGAATTCTGGGACTTGTGGGGCACCGGAGAGTACTTCCTGTGTACTCATTCCTCCACAGGATCCTGAATGTCCAGTTAGTGATGATGTAAGCGGCCACCATTTTTTTTGTGTTCGCAACAGACCTAAGTTAGGAAGACCATGGTAAAATCCTAAGTTTTTGTGGAAAAAAAGTTATTCTGTTTATATTGATTTGATACGTGTGCAGGGCTCATTACAATAATATTTTTAAAACAATGATGCAGTTGTTCTTTAGTGTACGTAGTTCATGATACTTGAATTGTAATTACAAATGTCTGACATCTCCATTATCCCACTCAAAATTTACGCATGTCATTAGTGAGCAACATATTTAATTAACATTATATTACATATTATTTTCACATTTATTTACTGTATAAAACCATAAATAAATTATTGAACAGAGTACTAATTTATACTTTCAATATCACTCTGTCACATACTTGCACAGGAACTTATAAGCAGTAGGGATAGTGGCCAGCAAACTGGGCAGTCCATGCTCATCTGAAATGTTTATAAGCCTTTAACTGGAATTGCAATTCTATAGACTACATCATGATGATGGCATGCTTCTTAACAGCTGTTTGTCTTTACCCAAGGATCGAACTTTATTTTACTCACCAATTACCACTGTGCAGCGATAGACTTTTGGCAAGGAATTCTTTAACGTGCTTTGGAACTTCTTAAACTGACACTCTATATCTTGTATCAGGGGAGAAGGGAAAGAAATGACCCCTTTCACCATTTGAACTATTTTACAGTGTTCTGACCCTAAACAGTTATAGAAAGAAATTTTCTGTCCATAAAATAGATTTTAGTCAGCTATATATCTACCTCTGCACTAAAACCCTTTTCAGAGAAGTGTCTCCATTCCATCTCAGCGGGGGATCCAAAGATTGATGCCATGCTGAGTCAGAGCAGACTGAAAACAGGTATCACATATGTGACATATGTGTCCATTCCATTTTATCCTCCATCTTGTGATGGAGGAAAAGGGACCCATCATGTAATCTCTTCAGTGGCTGGATGTTACCAGATGGGCATCTGTTTATACCTTTCAGGCCTTCAAAAGTGGACTTTAATAAATTAAGCCTTTAGACTCTGCAATTTTTAATTTGCAAACAGCAGAATCCCCTTTACAAAGAAATCCTATTAATGGAGCTATCCAGTGAACAAGTAACTCTATAGAATGTAGTATATCAAAAGATTTTTAATTAACATAGAAAAATATAAAGGTAAAGCACCTAATACATGACATTTCAAAAATCTTAAAAGAAAAGCACATCTTCCCTTAAATGACCCCAGTGTAGGACAAAGCAGTCGGGGTTAATTTGTCAGCAGAGTAATAGGCAGTCACTGGTAGGAGTAGATACACTGCATAAAAACAGTAGATACAAATGTATCAATATGTAACAGGTTTACTCACTTCATTCATCTGTGGCCACAAAATGAAAGTCCATCTAAGATTGCTGTGATGGATATAGAAGTGATATCTCAATGGAAGATATTCCTGTGATCATTTGTAATCCCAGTGATTGTCTTTATAAAGATCGCACAGTTCCTCTCATGATAAATCCGGAACAGTATCATCAAAAAAGATGCATGTATTTCCTCGCATGCGGGGATAGCCCAAGGGGTTCCCTTTGTATGTGCGGCCGTACAGTGAAGCGAAGATGGATGAAGTTCCTGGGGCAATGTGTCCAATGGAGCACTTAATCAGGAGCCTGAGTGTTATCAAGAGATGTATATGAGTCAGCTCCACTCAGTCCAGATTTCCAGTCGATGGTCCGTGCTGTTATTAGACTGCATAGATTGGCCTCGCTCAATACAATCGGTATAGCAGAGGCTCATAAACCCGATGGTGCAATAGACTGTGAAGCAGTAAGTCCTCGGTCTCCAGAGAAGTTGGTAGCACGCTGTCCCTGACGTGGCGCGTTTCCCCCCAGCAAATGGGGCTTCCTCAGAGGGGCGTGTGGTGTTCATCATGTACAGGTGGTTTAAATATCTCCTTA